TATCGTAATTGATGAAGTATCAAAATGAAGGATATTCCATCACCAAAGTTCATACTTCCTAAGATACATGTAACTCACAAACTAACTGACTAATTCACTACTACTTACTTCTATGTATAATAGTACTGCAATTGTTCAAACCCCAGTTGCTTTGGTAAGTGAGGTCCAACTGCTTTTACCACTAAAACACCTGGCTGACTACAATGCGGGGGTTTTCAATAGTCAAAACACCTTAACCTTCATGTATTTTTCACTTTACAAAACATATATAAACATATCAATGTTACTAAACTGTAATACATAAGTCCCAAAGGTTGTAATGTCAAGAAAGGTGAGGGTAGAGAATCAGTACCCTGGTTTTGTCCCTTGGTTCGGAAAGGTCGATTTGCAGAAAGTAAAAAGCTTAGGGCAAGCCGTGGATAATGTAATATTCCGAAAAAAACTGTAGTTTTGCAATCAGCAAGGAACCCATTGCTATTTGAGACGGAACTGAGAAAAAGCGTTGTTTACAAAACATTATTTCTCGCCTAAATGCGGCAGGAAGCAGCTGATACTCAATGTAACAAAAAAATACCAGTTACAGTTAAATAAATTGGTTTGAGAGTTCCCAGCTAACAAAACGAATCATCGGAAATCCAGCAAAAGTTGTTTCAGATGAGCATGTAGCCAGTTACTAACAAGGAAGCGGAAGTTATATCAGATTTATCAGTTAGGTTTTAACAAATAATATTTAAATCCTGGGTGGTAACGATGATTCTAGTAATTTTTACAACTTTCCCAGGTAGAACAGTCGGTAGATCTTACCCCGCATAACATGACGGCCTTGTCCGTACACAGTCCTCCGACAAATGCAAGACCGCCAGCGTAGCGATACGTGATCAGGGCAGCGAAATCATGTGGAGGTAGCTTGTGAAGGCTGAAACGATCAAATTAATTCACCTCAGTATGTCAAAATTACTACCTATTGTTTTACCAGTTATTTCTCAGAAACCAGCAAGACCTTGAGATTTATACTGTTGTGGTGCCTACAAGACTGGAGCCGTACTAGAGTACTTGTATGGCTGGGTGGGTGACGGAAGTCCCACCACACCGCCCACTAGGATTCCTAGCTAGTTGTCTCGCCACTCGACATGTATTGATTGAGTATAGTGGCCAATTGACTCGCCGGGAAGCATTCTTTTCGGGACTTCTGACCATTACCACTTCGCAGTCCACCAATAAGTGGGATCAGTCGAGCTGGGAGCGTGAGAGCGAGCTTCACAGTTCCCCCTTTGGGTGAAGCAGTAATAGAAAACTATTAGAATAAGGTAGTCACTGGGTTGATTACTGAGTAACTGCAGCTTCGAATTACTGATAACTTCCTCAAACCTACCGTTGACGTCGATACTCCTGAAATCCGTAGAGACTTAGATTACTGCGCATCGTTTGCAAAACATCGACAACAACAATTCCGAGGCGAAGTTGATTGAAGTACTGGAAAGTATCTAATTTGACTTTGTTTGTATTGATTAGTTTGATTTTGATTAATTTCTTTATTATTGTTGATATAAAATATGAGCATTTACTTTTCGACTTCAAAATATTTTTTACAATATAAACAAACAGTAATGCTTTACCGTATTAGCTTCCTCGACGACCTTTAGTATATTGCTTTTTACCCGTGTCATATCATATTCATAGAAGCCCGTCTGAAAAAAAAANAAAAAAAAACGTTTCACGTTTGAATCCAATCAGGTATACTTAAAAAACTCTGGAAAAAATCCGTGACATTTGATTGGTTTCCCATGTGAGACTGCCCAGACGACAGTTGCTGACCTTGCGCTTGAGAGCTCTGTAATTGGTGATCGGGAACACTCGACCAATAACAGAAGTCCTCCCATGCGCTGCATGTGGGCAACCCAAGGTCAGTAACTGCCACTCTGTGGCATAGAATTGGGATCGACTGGGGCGAACTACACAGATTATAGGATACTGTAGGTTTACAGAAATGTTCAAAACTTACAATTTTATCATCAACAAAAAGAAGTGTGTACAAATAACGATATGGTGCATTGCCGAGTTTTACAGCCGAGTAGTCCGGAGCCGCGTCTCCCCAAACGGCTGGAGCTCGCCTGTAGCGAGCCTAAAAAGTCATTTTCATGAATACTCATTATCAACTCTCTCAAAAAACGTATTTTGGAAATGTCAATCATAAAACTATCATATTTACTTACTTCAACTCTCAAGTTAAAGAAAAAAAGTGTATAAGTATTGCGATTTAGGTGACTGTCTTGGCCAAACGCGCAACCACGCTTGAGCCCCATATTTATTATATTCGGTCCCTTTTGGGGAAGTCACGGTTCCTCTAAATCCTCAGCCCTCAATGAGAGTTCTTGTCGCTTGAATCACTATTTTACGACTTACTTAAGCCTCACTTCATACTTACTTCCATATATCTACTTGAAAACATCCAAGTCTACGAATGGAGGTGGTGAGCGTGGCTCATCCTAATTGTGTTACTCAACTCCGGATGCTTTTTGTAATCTTGATGGGATGGCCGACAGTGGCATGCCCAGCAAAGGCAGAATATCCCTGACTTGGCTAGATCAGGGGTGGTCTAAGCTTACATCACAAAGCTCGGATGAGTCCGGGGTGGGACAAAAGGTCCAAGGACAACACGACCTTTTCCCGACCACGAAGCTAGCACTGACCAATAATTTTTAATTACAACCCAGTAAAATCAAATATGTCATGATAAGAGATGTTATGGGGATATTTCGAGAACGCAGACATTCCAGATACCAATAGATATTAAAAAAATTTTTTATCAGACCGTACGGTCTTTGTCTAAGTCTTCCGTATCGGCAAAAAAAGTACATGATTCCATTCGGGCACGTGCACGATTGTACACGTTCTCCCAAAGCTTTGTTCGCAACCGCTTTACTGTGACAAAAAGTTCTGTAAGTACAACCGTAGATGTTTTTTGTTGATGCATCTGTTTTGTCATTCGCATCATCTTTGAAAAGCACCCATTGTCGAAATATCAAGGGCCCTCAGCTGTTCCTAGCTTCTTCTTTTTCCAGATAACTAGTTCAAAAAAAGAGGTTTCTCATTAAATGAATCAAAAAACTATATTATTTCAGAAGATTAATTAGGCTAAAGGCAGGGGCAGTGAGGCTCGCCCCTTATAAATACCTGGGATGGAACCCCCGATCAGGTCTCGTCATCTGAAACCAAGCCCCTTGTCCCCTTCTAGTGAGTCATCCGTATCGGACTCCTTTCGAAAGATGAAAACGCGGAAATTTGCATAGGCTGCCCATAATTAAGGGCTGATTACACCACAGCGGCCTCAAGTGGAAGTTAGGTGCATGGCGCATATCGAAGGTGCTGCTTAGTACAGAGGATAGCGAATTTCAGTACCAATCACTACTATAGACAAGCCTAACTGGAATTGAAAGCTGTGTCCTGAATTTTTTTAGACATCTTCAGCCCCAATTAACAGAATCTCAAGTGATGGAAAAAGGGCAGCCTTCAGCACATGCAATTCCACCGAACGAGTGCTTTTTTGGGCTGTGGACCAAGGAAAAAACTGCAATTTTTCTTGGTTATCCATCCATCAAATTGGGATAATATTTCTATCCTACAATTGGCAAGCCGAGATGAACGAAAGAGACCAAGCAAAACCTTTTTATCACATATTCCCGTGTTTCGTCCGATCCCCCAAGTAGCACCTGACTGAAAAATTAGTCCATAGGGACAAAAAGTTCAAAAAACCAAGGCTCAGTACGGCAAAAACTTTGTGCTAAGCTTCTCGAGCTGTGGTTTGGAAATGAAGATGCGTGAAAAAAGTGAAAATTCAGGATAGTCAGCAAACAAGAATTCCCAGGAACGACGAGCAACCTTCAGAGGCATCGGTTGTTACTCATTGATTCCCTTCCGGATTTTAGTTGTAAGGAAACAGTGGGACTACTGTAGCTTTGGAGTGCTAAATCCTCGTGGGGCCGATTTCGCTCGGACAAACCAACTTAAAAGTCTCACTGGTAAGAAGTTGCGGTTTCAAACAGGATAATGTGAACACTAATAAGTCACTTTTTTTTGAGCATGATCCACGTCTGACTTCATTTCCGAATGCTCCTTCCCTTCACCCCTCCTGGGAACCATCAGGGAAACATCAGGGGAGTTTGGGTAGGGTGGAGGGAGGACCTGTAGTGTTGCACTATACATAATTCGCGACTTCAACTTATCCATCATCTGCGACCCCNAGGTCGCATGCATGGCGCATCTCGAAAGGATCGCATAGGATGACGCGAATCTTTTTGTTCGCGTTTCTGGTTAATAATAGCAACACGAGGGAAAATGACAACAATGTGCCGAAGATCTCTTCTGAGATCAGCCTATTTCCGTTGAGAAATCGGTTCACATTTTTCGAAACATATCAAGATTTTACACTCAAATTCATACGTGAGTAGTAATATTTTCATCAGAATCACATAACATTTGCGAAGAATTTCATGAAAAAACTCTCAAGCTGCCATAAAATCAGGCTGTTTTCATAAGATCCACTTATAATCCAACTATCTGTTCCCATAGTAGTAGAGTGAACCAGTAAACAAGTTGTGATAGGTTAGGAACTCACCGCTGTGACGACGTTGTAGTTGACGGTTAGAAGTATCAGTCCATAAAGTAGTAATCGTTTCATAATTACAAAATATCACCAGGCAAAGTCGTCTAATAGAAATCGTCACATTCGTTTACCTATCTGAAAACGAAAAGGTAAATTTCAAACTTCTTTTTGACCAACAAGTTTGCATGTATGATGAGCGGAAAAATGGCTTTCCGGATGGCCGGATGGGTGGTTTTATGCTGGTCATAGTGATACGATAGTGCAACTTGTAGTATGATAAAAAGTACGAGGACATTAGCAGACAGGAGCATGTGGTGGGCCAGATTTCAGGTCAACCAAAGGTTAACAGAAGGTCCTCTGAGTGAGTTGAACAAATGGGATTGCTCGTGACTTTTTCTGAAGATTTTATCGCCTCTCATCACTAAAGCAGCGAGTGGTGCCGTTAAGTAGAATCTGGAGACCGCCCGAGCCCGAGTTTACTAGATAGACGACGACGACGAGAAGTGTATTCGGTGAGTGAGCGCAAAATGGACGGGGGGGCCCCCTGCCGATGTGTCCCGATGGAGGACGACGTAGC